TAATGAAAGATCAGTCCAACATATTTAATGAATGACACTGTCAGATCATCCTAACCCAGAAGAACTGTTCTTCTAGGCTGAATTTTCCCTGGTTTCCAAGGCAGCTCTGAGTTTCTGTCAGAAGACCTCAGTGTTCTCTCCTGGTTTAGGCCAGGTAAGGTAGGTACGCTTGTTGATCCTGTAATCTGAGACTGCTTATGGGGTGGAATTTCCTCCAGGAATACGAGGATGAAAACGTCTTTCTTCTCGTCAAAGAGTCAGAAACTGGCCACCTGGATTTCTCTGGAATACCACTCACTCTCCAGGTAGTGGCAACTAATCACACAGATTGTCTTACAGCTGCGATAGATGCCATCCACAATGTTGTCCATGATGGATTTACCTGGCTGGAAGTCTCTGTGGTGCAAACACAACCTCCAGCCCTGCTGTCTCTCCAGCTGTGGTAACAGCTTCTCCATAACCCACAGTTCATCATAGGTATTGTAGGAAATGAAGGCATCATACTGGAAGCCATGTGATGTTTGCTTTCTTTGGTGCTTGCCATCATAAAGAACAGCAAGGAAAAGACAGTAGGTCAGGTCAAGAATCCTTAGGCTGGGGGTGTAGGTAAAAGTCTCAAGATTTAACGATTTTATGTTGAGACTTCCAGCCCACAGCACATGCAAATCCGTCAGCCCCTTAAAAAGGTTGGAAGGAACATTCCCCATCCCTTCACGGCCTTGACTGTGAACTGCCAAAAAATCTAAGCATCTTAGAGATGCAAAAGACAAATCTTCCAGAATCTTTTGGGTGGTAAGATATGTAGTTGTTATTCAGAACAAGATGCCTGAACTCTGGAAGTCCTGAGAAAACGGAAACCCTTATTGAAGTCTGGGTGATCTTGATGGATTGCAGGTCCTTTAAATTGTAGTATTATTTTTACTGCCCTTGTATAGAAAAAAGTGTGTTCCCGAGTAACAAACTATAACCTCTTTCACTTTAGCAATAATCTGTGTATTAGAGGTACATGAAATATGAACAATCAAACCATTGTCATTAGCTCTGCTTTATTCAGTTAGCATCGGGATCAGTCATATCCCCTTACAAAGTCTGAGTTAATGCTCTGTTAATGCTTTAATTCTATTCCCTCTAACAAAACTCTCCAATTATCCACAACATTTAGAATATCAGGCATGATGATAACACCCACCGCCATAGCATTAGCAACACTGCAGTGATTCTCATTCTGGAGATGCAGCTTTTTCAAAATGTCATTAATTTTATTGCACTAAATATTAAGGTAATCTCTGAAAGTTACTAACTCATTTCAATTATATGAACTTTAAACATCTCTCTCAGGTTAATGCTGGTTTCATACCTATTTTCCTTTTTAAAGACAGCACACAGATCGTGCTGTATTTTTAGTGTCCCCTATGGTGGGCAGAGTTGCCAGATCAAAACAGCAAAACTAGCATTTTCAAACTAGCCTAATTTGGTGGAAAAACCTCAAACCTGACTCCACAGCATGACCAATGGAAAGTGAAAGCGTATGATTCTACATAATCACAACTTCTGAATCATGCAGGCTCTGCCAGATCAGTATTTGTTTGTTTTACAGGAAGAACTACATAGCGCGTAGTTCTCATGTGTGTATAGAATGCAAATATCGATAATAGAGGTCTTAAAGCTGCACTTTGTAACTAACTAAGGGCTAGGGGTAACTTATTCTAGAAACATCTGGTGAATCATGGTGAATTCTTCATAACCCACATTTCATCGTGGGTGTTGTAGGAAATGAAGGCGTCATACTGGAAGTCATATGATGTTTGCTTTCTTTGGTGTTTGCCATCATGAAGAAAGGCAAGGAAAAGATAGTAGGTGCAAATTCAGTAAACTTTGTGGGTTCTGAATGTAACCATCTTCCATCATCAAGACAAATTTAAGACCTGAGTCTTAATTAGTTACTTAGTTATTAATTAGAGTTATTAATAATAGTTACCCAGAGTTTTTGGTGTCTTTTTTCTTTTGTGCATTGTGTGGCAAAATATTGAGATAAGTATTATGCATTATGAAAATGTCTTTAGTTATCGTAACATTATATATTTTGCCATAATGCCCACTTCTACTGCTCACTATACAAATAAAAACATAAGCTTTGAGTCATTTTTATTTGAGAACACAGTAGAGTCAGTGGAAATATTACAAATTACCCCATAGGTGGGTGTAACTGACAGACAGCCTGGTTGCAACATTTGCTAGAAAAGTCTTGAAAATCAATGCAAACTCATTAATTCATTCATTCATCAAACACATTTAAATTCATTAACTTGGTGCAATTCTACAATATATTGTATGAACCAAATTACCTTAATTCATAATATATTGACCTATTTTATTTACAAGAAATCTATTATTGATAAATCTACAAGTAAACATGTGTAAAACATACCTTTTTGTGTTAGAAGATAACCCTGCTATGTGAAGGCTGTACTTTAGCCTGGCTAGCTTTTGCTGTGACTTGTTTATGTGCTTTAGAATAGAGCTGTGTTACAGGCACTAAGCAGGTGATTAAAGGGTGAAATATCTGACTCTAAACCCTGAGAAGACTCTGCACTCTGCATACTAACAGATCTATATTGACTTAACAACTCAACACAAAGAGAAGGTAAACTCTCCTGTTAACTGCTGTCTGTACAGTTCACATATAGCCTACATGACATACACGTCATTCTGAGAATGAGCCAGTGTTAGTTCCCTTAATTTATGCCAAAAAACTTCTTCAGTTCAGTGTTAGACAGAGCCAGTTGACCTTAGACATACATGGTTAAGGCAATTTTTGTGTCATGCTTGTCTGTATGTTTCCAGTCTGACTGTGTTATTTAGAACTTGTGATTGTACTAATTTAGTACAATGTCTTACAATGTACACCATCTCTCACTTCTGTAATCGTCATTAGAAAGGCAGCAGCATTTCATAACATTTTGTTCTAATTATAAAGGCGCAGTGTGTAAAATTTAGGAGCATCTAGTGATGAGATTTAAAATTGGAACCAATTGAATATCCCTCCCTCACCCCTCTCTTTCCAAGCGTGTAGTAGAACTTATATTGGCCGTCAGGTTTCCTGCCGTCACCTGTCCCGATTTCGTTTTGCTTCTACATGTTGGTTGAGGATTCACCCTCCCTTGCTTTTTTCTTATGCTAAATGGCAAGTCCATTTGTCAAATTTTGGGTTCTCAAACTTCTTCCAACACAAAATGGTTAGCCAGCACCGGCAGCAACCACTGATTCTTCTATTCTATGTTTTCGACCAGTGCTATCGTGCCACCAAATTCTAGCTGCTGCTTCAACATAAAAAGGCACTCTCTAGAACCAGTGTTTGGTGTGTCCATTTGAGGCTACTGTAAAAACATCCTATGGTGGAAAAGGACCCCATCCCTGTGTAGATACGAAGGGCCTATTCTAAGCTAATGAAACACAATTTATAGTTGTTTGTACACTGTATTCCATTTAAGCTAATATATTTTCCGTGAAATTGTACACACTGCACCTTTAATGATAAATTCTAGCATTCAAAAAACTGTCCTTGCCATGTTCACTTCATGTCCAGCGAATTTACAATGCAATATAAACCAATGCGGCTAAAAAAGTAAAAATGTGATACTTGGATTCGTTCCAATTAGATAAGGTTAGATAAGGAGCATAACATTACACTGCCTCATGCAAAAGAGCTCCTACATTCTTTCCTGAATGTGCTTTGTTAGTTGTGTTCCTGTAAAACTTGCCTTTCACATAGATCATTAGATGTAATACCACATTGAGACATATTTCATCTCTACAACTTTCTGTTATGTTTATGCTATATGGCCACTGGGGGGCCTCCTTGTTCTTAGGCAGACTCTGAGCAAAGTGTATCTCGCTCCATGGTGCCCAATCCTGGTCCTGGAGATCTGCTACACTGCAGAGTTTAGCTCCAACCCTAGTCTATCACACCTGATCCGTATAATGAAGACCTTCAGGGGCATCTGAATAATAGAGCCAGGTATGTTGGATCTAAACTGTCCAAGGTGGTAGATCTCCAGGACCAGGATTGGGCACCCCTGATCTAGCTGTATAAACACCAATAAAAGATGCAATAGCAACAAAACATGCGAAAGCAGCAACATCAACAGGTGCAGTATACAGAGCCAAATGAATGGGTTTACAACAGCAGAGCTGGGAGCCAAAAGGATGGATCTGCTATAACAGTCTATTAATTCTCCTCCTCTTTGGGCCTCCAAGGCATCATAAGGCACTGGAAATTTACACTAAATAGCAAACTATGAACAAAGACATTTGTTCCCAGATGGATAATGACATGGTTCCCAGAGACAGAACAAAAAACACTTTACAGGAACTACATGTACATCCACGGTACATTATGGAACAGCACATTAACACTCCATTACAATTACATACTCATTATGAACAGGGTCGGGATGTAAGAGAATGCAAGTATTTGGAATATAGTACAGAAATGAAATATCTGTATTTGGTCCAAGTTACAGTTTGTAGGCAGTATTCAGAATATGTTTTACATTTATAATAGAATACTTGCCAACTAAATAAAAATATATTATTTTATATTATTTTAGAATCAGTGCACAGCATCTAGCACACAAGCTCATTAGATGAATTCTAAAGAGGTCCTCAATTAATGAATTCTTTACAAATACTGAAAATCCTACAAAAGTTAAAGATGTCACGTTTGTAAACCACTAGACGTGGACTTACAGGGGCTGCCTGTTTCAAATATTTTATCCATTCTTAATCTGGAGTAACCTATGTTTTACTACCTTGAATAACTCTACAGTTTAGATGCCACCCGTTAGTTTTTTGTCTGTTGACAGATCAAGAGATAAAGCATTGTTTCATCTGAGTATGGTGTGTTTCCTAACACTTGAAAGCAAGTACGTTCATTGGTGTTGCAAAGGTTAGTTCTGTTTTTATATACTTCCTCATATAGCGTACTGAGAACAGACATCTGACGGAGTACTCATTTCATTTTTTAATTCAACCGATTAATTTACGTTTGCTTTGGTCTGGTGTGTCATTCTTTCTCTGCAGTAATTTAAGTAAGTATTAATTTTATAATAAACTACATACTAATCAGTAGTCAGTTTGATTTGTGACTGCATGAGCTAAATTAAACTGATCTAGATCTTTGTCGTTTGTAAACTCATATGAAAATGTTTAGTATGTTTAGTATTCAATAGCCTGGCTCATAGTTATGATTATGGTCATTAGTTTAAACTTGTTATTATACACAGATTTGACTGAACAGCATGTCTCAAGTATAATATTATTCTGGCTAGATAAAATCATCTGTGTTAGTTAGCCTGCATTTGCATCTTTGCATAATTTTTACATTGAAAAAGGAGAAAATTAGTAACCTAAAAAACATTACACATGGCACAATGCAGCAGGCTGACAAAGCAGAAGAAACACTGGCACAAGCAGCATGTTAAATTTACACCCCTGCCAGCTAACTATTTTAACTGGTTACTTGAAAAAACCAGCAGTGTTTAAAGAGAACCAGTGGTAAGGTTCTAAGGAAGTAAGCATGTGTCAGTAAAAGATGAAACACAGGAATAGCCATGATTCTTCTGTCACAGCTCTTTTTTGAACACACCAGCACAAAGGGACACATAAAGGACACTAAGCTCAAGGGGATGGTCACCTCTACCCACCAGCTTCACCCTGACTGTGACCCCCCAACAAACACACACAAAAACCCCCAACTAAATCCACAACCCAACACATAAAAAGACAATGAACACATACACACAACTTAAACTACAAAACTACGAAAATCAACACTAAACAACATAAACAAGTCCTTTTTTGGAGGGCACGCACTACCATGAGCCTTGTACATGTGGTTATCTGATTAGTCACATCTCCAGATTCTCAGGCACGAGGGCCAGCCAGCAGCCGAACATTACACAAACACACACACACACACACACACACACACACTGAGAAATTATTTTTTAAAATATGCGCATTTTGAATTTGATGCCAGCAACAGGTTTAAAAAACCTTGTTTACCACTATGTTTCATCACATCTTCCTTTAACAACATTCTGTAAACGTTTGGGAACTGAGGAGACCGACTGCTGTAGTTTGAAAGTGAAATATTTTGTCATTCAGATTTGTCAGTGTAATATTTTGTATTTCACAATGTGCCAAATGTTTTTAATGTGTGACAGGTCTGGCTGCAGACAGGCCAGTTTAGCACCTGAACTCTTTTACTATGGAGTCATGCTGTCGAAATATGTGCAGAATGTGGTTTGGCACTGTCTTGCTGAAATAAGCAAGGCCTTCCCTGAAAATGACATTTTCTGGATGGCAGCATATGTTGCTCCAAAACCTGTCTATATTGCCCCTTTCCTCTTTAGCCCGGAGGATGCATCGTCCATGATTTCCAGAATGGATTTCAAATTTTGATTCATTGGACCACAAGACACTTTTCCACTTCTCCTCAGTCCATCTTAAATAAGCTCGGGCCCAGAGAAGGCGGTGGCATTTCTGGATCATGTTTATATATGGTTTCTTCTTTGCATGGTAAAAGTTGCATTTGTGGATGTAACATCCTGTGTTCACAGACAGTGGTTTTCAAAAGTGCTCCTGAGCTCATGCAGTGATTTTCACTACAGAATCGTGCCACCTGAGCTTCTGAAAATCACAGCCAGCCAATATTGTGTTTTTATCTCCTGTCCCTCACATACAGAGATTTCTCTGGATTCTCTGAATCTTTTAATATTATTATGTACTGTAGCTGATGTAATCCCCAAACTCTTTGCTATTTTACATTGAGAAATGTTATTCTTGAATTGTTTGCTCTCACAATCTTTCACAGAGTGGTGAACCCCTCCCCATCTTTACTTCTGAAAGTCTCAACCTCTCTGGGATGTTCTTTTTATACCCCATCATGTTACTGACCTGTTGCCAGTTAATATAATTAGTTGTGAGATGTTCCACCAGGTGCTTTTTTTAGCATTAAACTAAATTTTGTTGCAGATTTTGAAATGTGTTGCTAGCATCAAATTCAAAATGGGCATATATGTTTTCAAAACGAATTAAATTTCTCAGTTTCAGCATTTAATATGTTGTACTATTTACAGTTAAACATAGTGTTTAAATGTTGCATTCTGCATTTATTTACATTTTTCACAAGAGCCCATGACATTTTTTTGGAAATGGCATTGTATATATAAAAATTCCAGTTTATGTGACACTTCTCACTTCTCTCTTTTCCTGATTTTTAGATGAAGTGGTGTTGAAGAGGATGCTAACCAAAATAAATCAGGAGTACCACATCGACAGTTTTGCTGGATGCACAAAACTGTACGTGACTATGACATAAAGATCTGGTCAAATCTCCAAATATATTATACTCAAAAACATGCAAGCCCCATCGCCGTTCTGTATCTATATACTGTTAATGTTGCCTTGCTTTGTATGTGTACTTCCAGCAAATGGATTCTTTGTGATTAACTGTGTCATTAAGGGATCTCTAAAATATCCTGCAAATTTGAAGGCGCTATGCAATAAGAGGGAACTTTGTGTTATACCACACAACGTGCCAGACCAAACAAGAGTGCTTGATCTTTCTTACAATCATTTAAAGAGCATAAACCAAAAGGATTTAATCCACCTCACCAACCTTATACACTTGAATGTGTCACACAATTGGATCCAAGATGTAGAGGAAGGGGCATTCAGGAGCATGACAGCCTTGCAGGAGCTGAATCTTGCCCACAATAATCTCCGTATAATCTCAGGAGGATCCTTCCAAAATTTGTTTAACCTCACTGTGCTACGGCTGGATGAAAATCAAATTGCAAATATCAGTGCTTCTGCCTTCGATCCTCTGATTAGTTTGGTCATGGTGAATCTATCGGGTAATCATATAGCTCACATATATGAAGTTCAACCTCTCTTTCAGTTGCTCAGCATTGAAGAGCTGCACATTGGAAGAAATGGATTTCCTTCTTTTCAAACACCCCAAGTTTCAAACACATCCTTAAAACTGAAAGTCCTGGATCTGTCCTGGAATCCTTTGCGAGTCTTCAGAATCACAGCAGACGTTTTCCCTCACCTTGAATCATTAGGCCTGGCATTCAGTAATGAAAGCATGACATGGGATGTGCAGGACGCAAGCTACCTTAGAAATGTCAGCACCCTTAATTTAACTGGGATACAAATGAATGAAGAAATTAAATCAGTGCTACAGACCTTTAACACGTCACTGACCAATCTCAGACTCTACCGACTAAAAGAACAAACAGTGAAAAAACTAATTAAGACAGCGTGCCTGATTAACACTTTGAGAACCCTACATGTGCAGTCAAGCAGAATGGCATCCATATCTGCAAAGGAACTAACAGGCTGCACTGATCTAGTAACACTAGACTTGTCTGAAAACAGTCTCCGAAACATCACAAATCTGGCATTTGGATCGATGACAAACCTTAAAAGGCTGAGTCTGTCCAGAAACAAACTGGACAGTGTTCCACCTGCCATTTGGAATCTGTCCTCCTTGGAGGACCTAGACCTCAGTTACAATAGCATCTATAGTTTAACATGTTCAGATTTCAACAGCCTAGCACAGTTGCAGACACTTTACATTTCCAGAAATCCATTGAATTCAATAAAAGACTGCTCTTTTCAAAACCTTACAAATTTGAAGACTTTGATTATCAGCTCCAGCAGACTAATTTCCGTGACCAACTGTTTCAGAGCTTGTCTCCAGAAACTAGAGCTTTTGGATTTAACACAAAACAAGTTAAATTACATCCATAAAGGAGATTTTGGAGATTTAAATTCTCTTACGCACTTGCTTTTAAACGACAACCAAATAACCGCCATAGACAAAGGGGCCTTTGAGGGACTGCAGAAACTGACGGTGCTCAACCTGCAATCAAACAAAATCACACAAAATTCATTAAAAGCTTCAGTTTTCTCAGGACTTGCAAACCTAAAATATCTCTTGCTGAACAACAATTACCTCTCATATTCTGATCAGAGCAGTCTCAATAAACCACCCTTTAGATATTTAAAGTCTTTGGAGACTCTAGCAATTCACAGCCAAGGCCACAAAGGGATGCTGAATGTCCCGTCAAATCTTTTGGAAGGACTGACGTCTTTGCAGGTATTGACGGCAGGAAATCTCAACTTAAACTTTCTTTACTCAAGCACCTTTTCACACACTCCAAGACTGCTGAGCCTGGACCTCAGCCGAAATGAATTAACGGCGGTCTCACAGGAATTATTCACGCCCCTCCAAAGACTCAACAGACTCCACATGTTCTCTACTGGTTTGCAGTCTTTGGACTTCCTCATGCAAGCAAACCTCACTGACATTCAATACTTGCAAATCAGCAAGAATGCACTGGCAGTCATCAATGAGACCTTGATCACATCATTTGCCAACTTAACGTACATCGACCTACAAGAAAATCCATTCAGTTGTGACTGCAGCAATGCTTGGTTTGTTGACTGGGCAATAAGAAACAATGACACGCAAGTTGTAAATGCAGACCAGTTAACATGCAATTACCCATCAAAACTCAGGGGAAATAAACTTATGGACCTTGACTTTGAGTCCTGCACTGTAGATAAGGGTTTTTTCTGCTTCATTTCTACCACCGTATTTATTCTTCTGATTACGTTTAGCTCCATCCTCTATCATTTCTTAAAATGGCAGGTTGTCTATGCCTACTATCGCCTTCTGGCTTTCCTCTATAACAGCAACCAGCAGAGAAAGGGACAGTCCAGTGGCTACCAGTATGATGCATTCATTTCCTACAACACCCACGATGAACCGTGGGTTATGAGTGAGCTGTTACCTCATGCGGAGGGAGAGCAGGGCTGGAGGTTGTGTTTGCACCACAGAGACTTCCAGCCAGGTAAACCCATCATGGATAACATTGTGGATGGGATCTATAGCAGCCGGAAGACAATCTGTGTGATCAGTCGCCACTACCTGGAGAGTGAGTGGTGCTCCAGAGAAATCCAGGTGGCCAGTTTCCGACTTTTTGACGAGAAGAAAGACGTTCTCATCCTGGTGTTCCTGGAGAACATTCCAGCCCATCAGCTGTCTCCATATTACAGGATGAGAAAACTAATCAAGAAACGAACCTACCTCAGCTGGCCCAAACCAGGAGAGGATACTCGGGTCTTCTGGGAGAAATTGAGAATGGCTCTGGAGGCCAAAGAGACTTCTAAAGAGGAAAATCCTATTCTTTCTGGGATAAGTAGTACCTGATAATACTCAAGTTTTACACATCTAATGGCAACCACTTTTGACAAATGACAACCAATTGCAGACATTAAGTTTCAGTTCTCAAAGTAAGATCTAGGTTTTACTACATACCTTCTTTCTTCATTGTTGTTTTTGGGTTTATATGTATGCATAATTTAACAGTGCCAGGTACCTTCCACAATGTGTAAAAATTGTAATTAATGGACCGATAGAAATGGCACAACATTGCTTGGAAAAAGTCTTTTTGCATTAACATCCATTCCGAGTAATTACAAATGTTTTCCCTTCTCCTGAAAAGTTACCATTCACTATATGAGTTTTGTTTTTCTGGTAAGAACATGTAGAAAATCTGTCAAAAACACAAATGGGTGGTTTAAAATGATCTTTTTCATGGGTCATAATCTTTTCACATTTTATTGAAGAAAATTATTAATGACAAACAATGGTGGTGAATGAAATTTGTCTGCAGTCAATGCTAAGTGTGGAAAGTCTGCAGTCAAAGGAATTAGTGTAGAAAGTTTCCAAATTAGTTGAAAATGTCTATGTGCATTCGGAGTAACCTTTTTTAATGTCCTGAATATGTTTTATTTTTAATTTGTCTCTGATCCCGATCCAAATTCTTTAATGTTAAGGATTAGCCAATACAGAGTCCAGTCCCACAACTTTATTTTCATAGATAGCACAGAACATTTACTAAAATATGGTGGGCTGTTAACTACTTTAAAATGTTATAGTAACATAATTTCATTTTTAGTATATGTATAATGTAACACCTTCAGAAGTGATACATTTTGTTTTTATGGCCTACATTTTAAAAATCCATTTTAAACCTTGACTCAATTTGATAACATTGACTGATCTGATTATTCACTTACACTATATGTCTAAGAACATCCAGACACCCCTTCTAATTATTGAAATGAGGTACTTGAGGGTAGATCCATTGCGGACACAGGAGTTCAGTGGCGTATAAACAGCTTGCATAGTCTCCATAGAAAAGCACTGCTAATAGAATAGGATGCTCTGGAGAACGTAATCATGTGCAATGCCAAGCGGTGTCTGTCTGGGGGCCTAAAGCCCCCTGTTACTGCAGAATTGGGTGAGCAGGTGCTTACAAACCTTTAGACATATAAGGTGTTTTAAAATACTGCAGTGCTTCATTTTGGTAAATGTATATTATGGGATGTACTCTGCTGTGATATGTTTTGTTTTTTCTTTAACTATTTAAGTCAAATAACGTTATATAATGTATAACTGTTATACTGATATAATGTTATAGTGGTGTGACAAATCATAAATTTGCATTTCACATTGATCTAACATGTCCAATGGCCTACTCTTTTTTCCCTGTGTTGAAGTGTGTAGTAGCCCTGCGCTCTAGTTTTACGTCTGGCTAGTTTGACATTTGAGGCAAAGATGTCCATTTACACTAATAGAACCAGTCTTCTACCTGAACTATAAAATGAAATATAAAGGGACACAGCAGTCTCAGGAGAGGAGAGAAGGTCACTTTAGAGTTTTCAGCTCTGGATTTTACCACCAGGCCGAGCAGATACAGTGCCATGAAAAGTATTTGCTCCCCTCCACCCCCGATTTTTAAAAATATTTTTGCTTACTTTTCATACTCACTTCAAATCTTCCATCAAAATGTAATTTCAGACAACAACCCAAGAAAAAAGAAACACAAAATACAGTTTTTAAATGATCATTTATCGAAAGAAAAAAGTTATCAAGCACCAACTGACCCTGTGTGAAAAAGTCAATACCCCTTAGTTACTCAATCAACCAATGAACCACATTTAGTTCATAACTGGGATTATTTAAGGCTTGATTACTCCCATCCCTGTTGAATCTAAATATAATATACTAAAACTTTTCAGCAATGTGAAGTAGGTTAAAAGGTCTCAGCAAGCAGCACGATATGCCGCAATCAAAAAAAAAATCTGCAAGAGATCTATCTCTAAGGCTCTGGGACTCCAGTGAACCACAGTGAGAGCCATTATCTCAAAATGGAGAAAACATGGTACAGTGGTGAGTCTTCCCAGAAATTTCCATTGAAGAGCTGTAAGGCAAAAAACACTGCAAGCCCATATAAACATAAAGGCTTCTGTCACATTTGCCAAAAACAGAAGACAGGGGTCCCATTACAACGTAAAGCTAAAACAGCATTCCACAATAATCATACCAATACCAATCATACCAACAGTCAAACATAGTGCTGGTAGGGTGATGGTGTGTGGATGCATTGCTGCTTCAGGACCTGGGTGAATTGCCATAACTGCCAGGACCCTGAATTCTGCTCTCATCCAAGGAATCCTGCAGGAAAATGTTCGTTCTCTAGTCTGTGATCTAAAGCTCAACTTCAAGTTATAGAGCAGGACAGTCTGAACCACGAGAGCAGGTCCACTTCTGAATGCACTAAAGGAAACAAAATTAAAGTTTTGGAGGGGCATATTCGAAGCCCCTGCACTGGACTGATGACCTGTCCAGGGTGTATCCTGTGTTCCGTCCAATGACTGCTGGAACAGGCTCCAGCTCCCCCCCGCAATCTAGAAGGATAAGCGGCTTAGAAAGTGTGTGTGTATTCAAAGCCTGACTTGAACCCCTTAAGATACTGTAGCTCAGCTGTGCCCAGTCCTGGTTTTGCTGCAACCCTAATCTAACACACCTGATTCAGGTAATCAAAGCCTTCAGAGACATGTAAATATTACAGCAAGAGTGTTGGACCTGAACTTTCCAGGGTGATAGACCAGGATTGAGCAATGATGTACGTTATGTGGGACACAATTCTTACCATCGCATACAACTCTGACTATAATGAATTCTGTTATAAGAGTAACAGTTTTCTACCCTTTTACACACACTTTGTTTCTTTAGTTAGCCTTGGCCTTCTGTGAAAAATACCTTTGTTTTTCTTCTAAAAGTGCCATGTCATCCTTCATCAGCCATTTCAGTTCTATTTATTCCTATATCATTGTATAAAATAATAATCACTGGCCTTGAGAATGATTTGAGTACAAAATAACTTGGAATCTGTTTATTATCCCGTAATTGTGACTGAACAAGTTATTCCTACTTGTGACTAAGTAATGAGGTGTTAAAATATATGTTTTGTACATGAATTGGGTAAAAAATAAAGTTATGGTTCAAACTAGGGGTGTGTGTGTGTGTGTGTGTGTGTGTGTGTGTGTGTGCAGGCCACGACTCCTAAACAATGGCCAAGTGTCCCTATCACAGTTGCAATTTATGTTTAAGAGGGGCCAAGCAGTGTTTCCCAGGCCTGGTTGAAGCATATGTAGCACTCCAGGATAAAGCCCAAGCACATTCAGAGAGGTGTACATGCACACACAGAGGCCTACACTCACACAGAGAGAGAGAGAAACAATGCGGCATAGTATAATTAACTAAGGAATGAAATCAAATACCATTGATGTGGTTATGACTGATGCGTTTCTCCTTCTAAAGACATTCTCAATAGTATGTTGTAAAAAACAGGATCTCAGTGTGCGCATGCTTCTCCAGGCCACAGCCTTTGACACAGTCAGGCCTGCTCAGCACACACCACATAGTCAGGGTCACACAGGCACACATGCACAGGAAGAGCTGCCTAGAATGAGCCATATAGCATAATATAATTTCTTTTTCGTCTATTTTTATTTCTCACTAACAGTTACACATCCTTTCAGACCCATAGTGTTGAGTTGTCTTCTCACAGTTGAAGGATGGACAGAAACACTTGTGGATTTTTTCAGACCTGAATCAAGACCGGAGCTTGATTTTCTCCTCTCTCTCAAAGATCAAACCTTTAAGTGCTGTTTATCTGATGGTGACAGTTTTGGTGGTCTACTAGGTCTCACATAGTTCTTCTCTTTATATCATTTATTGTTTTTTTTTAACTCTAGTTTCAGGAAATCTATTTTCTTTTTTTTTTAATCATTTTCCTTTGATTTTCTCCTTCTTTATGCTAGTACCTGCTCTGGCCTGTTTTAATTTAGCTCACAGAAGGCAGATAAAATCATATTACAACCACAAATATGCATGTTGAAATTTTTTACAATGCTTTCTCAGCACCTTTTCTCACAATCTGACATTACAAGAAAGCAATGTTTCATACTATTTATTATTTAAAACACATTGTTTTTTCTTTTGAATAAAATCAGTGATCAAATTGATAACTTTAGTGTTTACTTAATTGAATTTATTGTCATATTTATAAACACATGCACAGCATAAATCTTTTCCAGTATTGTCAAGGTGCAATGAAGGCAATGTTCAACAAGCAAAATACAGCATTCAACAGGCTACTCTGTAACACTGTATATGCAACAGGCAAGAAAAAGTAGCAGAGATACAACAATAAATACCAGATGATTAGTAGAACTATGCATGAAACACTCTGCAGTAGTCAAATCTAGAGCAAGACTGTAAATAAGGAATTTAGAGGACTATGAAAGCGGGTCAGATGGTTAACATTTATATTTAAACAGAGTATGTCACAAACAAGGGGTGAGCAAATCTCCACAGTCTGACATAAGTAGCTTAGGGAAGATCTCAAAGCTCTAGTTGATGTCTCCTGGATTTCTCTTTCCTCCACTCCTAAGTCTATGATCAGGAAATCTATCAGATTCCGCCATCTTTAAGGGCCTATCAATTCTTTATAGATGTTTAGAGGGTTTGAGAGCAAGAAAACACAAGGTCATTCTACCAGATGTTTAGCCAAAGGGGGGCCAGGGGTAGACCCTTCTGTCTACACCCGGTATGGAAAGTGAGACAGTCAGCCATCATCAAGCATCAGTTACACTCTATGGTGAAAATCTGCCAACAAGGTAGTTACCGAACAGTTATGAAAGTCTGATGACACTGCAGTTAATAATTAGCTTATCTTGCTGTTATTGGCTTGTTTGCTCAGCAAACAGGCGAGTGAATGCCCCTTCAGCTGTGCTGCTCTGTGAGCTACGTTATGAAGTAGGCTATTCAATCGTAAAATGCATTAACTACTAAAAATTAGTTTGCTATAATCGTTTATTATGCTAACATTACATTTTACAACGGAACATATACATGTATCATAGGTTAGCTTATACAGTGCAGTCTGGCTAGCTTTTATCATTAGACTCAAATATAACCTGTAGTGAATGCAACCTAAATGAATAACATCTATGGCTTGACTTTATGAAAAGTTTGCTGAAAAAAAAAGTGTGCTGAAAAAATTATGCATTTAATTTACTTGATTCAGACACAGCATTTCCTCATGAATGACTACAATTACGTGTTTCAGTTTACTTTCAGCAGTGGTTGTATTGATGTAATATTTTACTTATGTGGAAATGATGGACAAGGTTGGTTATATACAGTGAAAAGCAACACGAACTATATGTCATTTTAAATCTGTAATGCTATTTCATTATTTTTTTCTTAGCAGTGTGTCACCCCAATAAAATCTCTAAATCTTACCTGGCCACCTCATTCTAAAAGTTCTAGCTATGCCTCTACATCCTATGTGGAACCTTTTTTTATCGTGACACATACCACAGGTCTATGATACAGTTTCTCTGCCCCCTCTGTCTTTTTATTGGATGATCACAGTTAATCAGAGAGTTCAATTAAAGGTTGATGAAAGTTAATGAAATGTTTGGTGTGCATGAATTTCAATAAAGCATGCTGATGTAAAAAGTCTGTTGAAAACAGGAAAGTGTGAAAGTGTTTATTATTGGCAGATCCTTTAAGCCCAGTGACAGATGGTGAAAGTAACATCTCATTTGTCCAACATGCTTATTCATTCCTGCAAGGAACAGGAACAAGAATGAACTCTTAAAGATTTGAGATCCACCCTCTGTTCAAATCAGTTTCATTTCCTTCTGAAAAGCGTTCCAAGACGTAAAATAAACCACGCAGCTTCACTTCCTAATTTTCAAGCTGATGCGGAATATGTGACATTTAAGGTGGACATACAAAATTCCAGATTAAACGCTGAATGGATAATGGACAAAGAAATGATCAGGTAAGCGTTTAAAATAAGATTTCAATCTTTCATTTAGGCATAAAGATAAAGACCTGTTACGTAATCCATAAGGGTTTTAGGTGAAAAAGTATTTACAGAATTCATCTGTAATGTATTTGTTCATTGAGTCTGCTCTGCACGTTTGCACATCTTTCTGTGTACGGTGCCAGGAACAAGGTTTACACTGAACTACATGCATTTCCCAGTTAGATGACTATATAAGGCTTCCTGCTCTCAAAGATCCTGTTGCATGATTAAAGGGTTCTTTGCATCGTGAACGGGTTCTTCAGATTAATGGAGAATGTGTTGTAGATGGAGGGGTTCCACTACTGTTACAAGCCAAAGAACACTTTTTTGTACTACGTAGAACCATTTTTGCTAAGAGTGTATTTTACCTGTTTCCAATAAAATAGTTCAGGGTCCCTGAAAGGCTGTAGAGTCTGCTATTTTTAAATTAAGTTTATATTAGAAAATATATATATATATATATATATATATATATATATATATATATATATAAATTTTGAGTCAAAATTATGAGTAGATGTATATTTTTTTATATTTTATAATGTACTTTTTAGTGACAGTCCTGCTGCCCATCGGCTTCCTGACTTTTAGCTTACATTAACTCATAGGTATTGACTTCCAGAGATAGTAAACAAGATATTCACAGCTTTCAAACTGTATACATTCACTGCTAACCATGTAAAAAAAATTCTACTATTAAAATCAGTAGCAACAACAGCTTTTTATCCAGTTTTGATTTTCTTTACTGGGTTTTAATTCTCTGGTAATCATACTAATAACCTCATACACAATTTTTTTTTTTTCCTGACTGTTAAACAGCTAAACAGCCTCTCACACAGTTAAAGACACACACACACACACACACACACAGAGAGAGAGAGAGAGAGAGAGAGAGAGAGAGAGACTGATAACTGTATAAAATAGAGAGAGCATACTCCACCACAGTCTGATCAGATTAACATTACTGTTAAAAAAAGAACACAGTCAAGAGGTTAAAGGGAATCTGTACTAGACCAGATTTCCCCTTTCACAGCCTTACATGACTGTTTATCTCCAAGACTGTGTGATAAGACAGTATTTTTATTCAGGTAAACTACACTGGTTGACACCAATGTTAACTAAAGTAGCAGCTAACAGACACTCACAATAAAATATATGCTACAGATCTTATGTTCAATAAATAGCCACGATTTGATTTGTGCTTTCTTCAAAGTGGTTTATGAGCTGAGACACTCAGAATTTATTTTTACACTGTAACATTATTAAAAATTAAAGTAGCAAAGTAAAATTATTTAATTATAAATTATCCCAAGTAGTAGTAGGCTTAGTCCACAGGTATATGAGTATCCTCCACACAAGCACTGTTTTAAAAAAAAGTGCTTGTCCACATTAAAACGCAAAAACACATTGTGACCAGCTCAATGACAACAGCGATGTCTGTGGTGAATATAAATTCTCTCGCCATTCTTCTGTAACAGCCACTTCATTTTCAAGTTGTCGCACCAACTAGAGGTCCAACCAGGTCTTACCCAAAATGGCGTGGTCTGTGTCATGCGAATGCTGGATATAGAAGTGACCTCATTCTGACACCTCTGTTTCTGAATATAGTGTAAGAATAACTGTACATTTATGTGTAAACATGTAACAAGTACTGATAGCACTATTAAAACCAGCACTATCTTGACTACATCAGCCATTGCACAAAATCGTCAATGGAGATAATCGTGCACACTCTTGACAACAAACAAAGAAGAAAACAACGCACACTCTATTGACACAAGCCAATAACTCTGTTTTCCCTGTCTACATAAAAACACTGAGTTTCTGAATATCATCACCCTAGAAGGAGTTTTGCAAAAGGTAAATTTTCAGTGACCTAAAGTACAGTTTACATGTGGACGGAAGACCAAAAACGCATATAAAAAGCTCTGTTAAAAACATTCTCATGTACATCTGGACAAGCAGTAAAATTACTATGATTTAATTCTACTCCAAAGTATTATTACAGGGAAAAGTGTACTGAAGTACTGTAACCAGAGTAAATGTACTTCCTTACTTTTGACTCCTTCCTCTGATATTTGTTCTATCAAAATGAATGTAAACTGCTAGCTTGAGCAGCTGTTGGCACTGAAAAAATGTTCACAGTAATAAACTGTTTTTTTCATGTTTCTTTCATAGGACTGCTGAAACATAGTTTTATCAGCATATCAGCATAAACCTGAAGACCATGAAGAATTTAAAAGTTCTAATTTCAATGGAATCTACGTTCTTTCTCTTTGTGCTGTCCTACTGTGTACTTCTCAGTCTGATAGATGGATATTCACTGAAGGACTGCACAGTCAAAGGCTCTTTAAACTCCACAACTATGAAAGTGTTCTGCTACAAAAGGCAGCTACATGCTGTTCCTGAAAGCGTACCAAGCAGAGCGAGGGTGCTGGACATTTCCTACAATAAAATATCAGTGATAAAGAAGAACGATTTGGGAGACTTGACCAATCTTCACAACTTAAATCTTAGTAATAACATGATCGAAGAAGTGGAGGACGGGGCCTTCAGAGGTTTGGCTGCCTTACAGGAACTGAATCTTGCCCACAACAGACTCACAACCATCTCAGGAGGATTCTTCCAGAATCTGTTTAATCTCACTTTGCTTCGACTGAATGAAAATCACATTTCAAACATCAGTTCATCTGCTTTTCTTCCTCTAATCAGCCTGGTAATGTTGAATTTGTCAGGAAATCATCTACAATACATACACAAAGCACAGCCTGTTTTTCAGATGCCTCGTATTCAGGAGCTGCATATTGGGAAAAATGGATTTTCCTCTTTTGAAACATGCCAAGTTTCAAATACATCCCTGCAACTGCAAGTCCTAGATCTCTCCCACAATCCTTTGCAGTCATTCAGGATCACAGCCAATATTTTTCCTCACCTTGAAACATTAGACCTGGCATTCAATGAAGTCAGTGTGAAGTGGGACGTGCAGGACAAAAACTACTTCAGAAATGTTGACAGACTCAACTTAAGTGGAATAGAAATGGCACCAGAGAAGATGAAGATAATGCTGCACACTTTTAACTCTACATTGTCTAATCTCAGACTGTACTACTTGGGGGAGCAGAAAGCAAAATCACTCGCTAAGGAAGCTTGCCTGATTAACTCACTGACAACCCTACGTTTAGAGTCAAACAACATCAATTCCATATCTGAAAATGAACTAAAAAACTGCTCAAATTTGAAAGTACTGGACTTGGCTGAAAACAACCTCACTAAAATAACAGTTCTAGCATTTAAATCAATGTCTAAACTTAATACTCTGAGTCTTTCCCATAATAAGTTGAGTAATGTTCCCACTGCCATTAGAAACCTTTCCACTTTGGAGGTCCTAGATCTCAGCTACAATTCCATAACTACTCTAACCTGCTCAGATTTTACCAATCTAGCACAGTTATTGATGGTTCATATTTACAGGAATCCTTTGTCCTCTGTGGAACATTGTGCTTTTCAAGACCTTCATAATTTGAAGACACTCATTATTGATTCAACTGCACTGTATACTTTAAAAGGATATTTCATGAGTGGTCTCCAAAACCTGACGTATTTGTCATCATCACGGAACAAACTAAGTATGATCAATAGGGATGATTTTAAATGTTTGCAGTCCCTCACACATTTGCATTTACCAGACAACCAAATAAAAAGTATAGATGCAGGAGCGTTTCAAGGATTACAGAAACTGGATTTACTAAACCTGCAATCAAACAAGATCACCCAGACTTCAATAAGTGCTTCTGTTTTCTCAGGACTTCCAAATCTTAAGCAGTTGATGTTAAATAATAATTGCATATCGTACTCGGGCCAGGACAGCCTCAGTGAGCCACCTTTTAAACATCTGAAGTCGTTATATATTATAGCAATTTACAGTCAGGGCAATAATGGAATGAAGAACATTCCCTCAAACTTTTTGGAAGGATTGACATCTTTAAAAATATTCTGGGCTGGAAATCTCAATATAAACTCTCTGCATCCTGACACCTTTACTTACACCCCTGAACTGTCGATACTGGACCTCAGCAAAAATTACTTAACAACAATCTCCTCTGACATATTTATGCCACTTAAAAAACTCAGCAGTTTCACCATGATTCAGTCAGGGATACAATCACTGGATTTCCTTATTGAAGCAAACCTCAAGGAAATACAACTTTTATTGATCAGAAAAAATTCAATAGCGGTCATCAATGAGACTCTGATTGACATAGTTTCAAAGTTATCCCTTCTGGATATACAAGGAAATGAATTTTCATGTGACTGTGATAACGCCTGGTTTATTGACTGGGCAGTCAACAACAACAACACACAAGTTTTAAAAGTTGATGAGTTCAAGTGCAACTACCCACCAAATTTCAGAGGAAATCGACTTCTAGATCTTGACAAAGACTCGTGTGTTGTTGATGTGGGACTGTTATGTTTTGTCTTCACCACATCTTTTGTCCTTCTGACCCTGCTCAGTTCTTTTCTCTACCATTTCTTGAAATGGCAGTTTGTCTACACCTACTATCTGTTCCTGGCTTTTCTTTATGACAAAAAACAGCAGAAAAAACAAACCCTCCAGAGCTTCCAGTATGATGCTTTCATATCCTATAATACCCACGATGAACTGTGGGTTATGAAGAAGCTGTTGCCAAAACTGGAGGGAGAGCAGGGCTGGAGGTTGTGTTTGCACCACAGAGACTTCCAGCCAGGTAAACCCATCATGGATAACATTGTGGATGGGATCTATAGCAGCCGGAAGACAATCTGTGTGATCAGCCATCACTACCTGGAGAGTGAGTGGTGTTCTAGAGAAATCCAGGTGGCCAGTTTCCGACTCTTTGACGAGAAGAAAGACGTTCTCATCCTGGTGTTCCTGGAGGAAATTCCAGCCCATCAGCTGTCTCCATATTACAGGATGAGGAGCATAATCAAGAAGCGTACCTACCTTACCTGGCCTAAACCAGGAGAGGACACTCAGGTCTTCTGGCAGAACCTGGAAGTTGCTCTGGAGGCCAAAGACACTTCTAAAGAGAAAAGGCCTATTCTTTCTCAATTAGGAAGGATCTGAGAATGCCGAGGTACTACACAACATTATGATGGTGTGTGGTGAAAAGGGAATGAACTATTTAGAGAATGTATTTACTCTTATTAAAATCAGATCATCAGTAGCTTCTGATTCTTGTTTAAGCAAATCATTTTTTAAATTTTTCTTGTACACCAAAGCAAAGTGTAATACATTTTTGTGGGCGTTTAGGTCCCACTTTAAAGCAAATGAAGCAAATCTGAGTTGTTTGCGGTGTGATTTCTTCATGGGGTTCCTACAGAGTGAATTCCCTCAGATATTGAATTAACCTAGGCTTGTTCACTGTGTTGGGTCCATGGTTTCCATCTGAATGAATCACTATTAATGTGTTTGGTAGATAGCTTGCCAGTTTTACTTGATGTTTGTCTTTCTTTTTAGTTCTCTAAGCAAGACCCATGTTCTGCCACATACAATATTGTAGTAACACTTCACATTCCTAGGCTGTGTAAAATTAAACTAGAAATGCATGTGAAAAAGACAAATTCTCAATTAATCTAAATTCTTTTTTTATGTATTAAAAATATTCTTCTTTTAACGATAATTATTAATGACCAAAAGAAGGTTTGTGTATGAAGATGAACTGTCATATGATGCAGTCAGTGTTTAATTTAAAATTTCCAATTTCATCCGTTAACATGTTCAAGCACATTTGCTGTTGTTACTACTAGCCTATATGCTTGATTTTTATATGTTAATAAACATTTTTGTCACAAGCAGCACTTTTACTGCTGATTTGTTCATTGATTGAAAGAGTAAACAGGCCAGACTGGATCACTGTTCTCCCTGCTGGGATTTTGGCGCAGGTCCATGTGACCTTGGTTGTATTACATATTCCTTAAACTGGGTTAAGAAGTGTCCAAATTGACTGTGCTTTGTCATATGACCCATATATCAAGAAATAAGACAGCATTTGTTAAATCTTAGCACTATTGCCAAAATATTGCCAACACTTCCCTCAGAAAGCCCACAGTGGTTTTGTTAGCTGGGTTGCAGTCAACAATGGCAGAACAGTTATATCAGATTGTAACGCCAACTACAACTTTTCCACCTTGTTGGTAGCTACAACAGCTAACTCCACCTAGAGGAGTTAAACCACAGGCATGACCATGGTTGCACTGGAAAATTGGCTATGAAAAAAAGAGCCCTGTGTATCTCTTGATTTCCTGTAATGGTTTTGATTTTTTTCTTTTTAAGTTTTCTGAGGCAGCACCAACAACAGCTTACAGTGCTTGGTGTGTCTGTAAAAGAGCAGGAGGGGATCTCTTGATTAGCTGTTTCTGTGCTTAATCCACTTCCCACTTTTCAGTTAAATCTCTCTGATAGGTACATCCAAGGGGCGGACTGGCTAATCTCTCGGAACCCCTAAATGTCCCAGAATCAAAATTCTCAGGGGTCCCAGAAAATAACGTTATGCTGTTCAGGGAAATCTCATTGTTTATCTTAATTCAAAAAACATCTGGTCTGCCTCAAAGTGGTGCTATAGCAAAGAAATTCACCCTGTTGGTCCTTTCATAGCCTTGAAACTGCAACTATGCTTTGAATATGTCTGAAAAACTTTACAATATATTAGCACATCTAAATCTGAATACTTGGCCAATTTTGCAAGAGACTGGTGGAAAAAGTGAAAAGTTACTTATTTCTCAAACCATAGACAAAAGAGGAAATGTGTAAGATCTTAGTTAATGCGAGGAAGAGCACAAAAGTTCTTTCCGAAAGAAGAAATGTTGAACTGAACATTTTGATGCTGCTGAACAAGCACCAGTGCTGCTAAGGCAAGTAAGTTAGTAGTTAGTCAACGCTGGAGTAGCCAGACAACTTGAGACCCCCCCGAATGCCATGGGGTATTTCACACACTGGGTACATCAATAATCTAACTAGGATGTCTATGGTTTTTGCATTAATACTCCCTGTATTTTGCTCTGAGGGTGATAGAATTATGGCCAACATTAATAAAGGGAACAGAAATAGTGCTGCAAACCACCTTAACCAAAACAGGAGCGACAAGAAGCCCATCAGGTAAGAAAGAGGCTGGAAGACTGGAACATGTCACTGCTACTTACTTAACACTGCCTTCTGATAGGCGTTGAAAATAAGCCAACACAAAAACACAAAACAATTTTGAGTTCTTTATTCTGGCATAAATAAATCAATGGATAAAAAATTATTATACAAACAGTTTAATAAATAACAAAGAACAGTACAGTATTCTTGATTATCCATGAGAAATTACTTAAAAACATGAGAAATTTCTTAAAAACTTTAAAGCCAAACTAAGTTAGTTTGTGTGGCTGCACCCACTAGCTCATCTGGAGCACTGTTCTCCCAGATACAGTTTTAACAATAATCTAAAACATCTGTAAAAGACATGTTGAAGAACCTGTTTTACATTATAACTGTTACTTTCGATGCCACCCACGTGTATTTTACAGTGTGCTTAATAGACTAAATCATAATGTGCACAAAAGTAATAGGGACACCCCTAAAGAATCCAAAGCCATCCGGTATGGATATAACATTAACTATATCTAGAACACAAACAATATACTTCTATACGTCGTTATCTAGAGATTGTGACGATAATAATAGGAGAAATCTTAATATTTACCTCAATGAACACAAGAACTATTAGCCTCTATTATAACCACCCTTATAGACAAGTCATATATTTCACTTGTGAAGTCTGCAAAAACAAGTAGACAAGTTTACAAGTAAACATGTATGAATAATGTGTGATCACATGTTACATGACACGGCACATGTGAGCATGTTTTTCCACGTGATCACATATTTCATCACGTCATCACATGTTTTTTCACATGTGACAGCATGTTTTAACATGTGAAGTGTGCAAAAACCACATGTGTTTATTCACATGTGTTTTTTTCTATTAGGGCACAATCTACAGTATCTACTTCCTATTCATTTCTGTCATATGTGACATGCTACATGAAAGTGGGGTTCTCTGTGAGAAACAAAGCCTTTTTAATAACAGAAGACATTCGAGCTTACCACTGGACTTTATTCTCCACTGCTACAGTCAGCTTCCCTCTGTGACCCTTACATCTCTCTAAAAGCTTTGTGCAGAACTTCGAAAAATGCTCTTTTGTTAAATGCAGTCTTAATTGTGTTCCAGTAGGTGGCAGCGTGGCACACAACATTGGTGGGATGTAGTCAAGACAAAGAGACAAAGATACATATTTTCATGTGATGGCCATTCTAAGAGATAGCATGGTGTCATGTACAGTTGTTTTACTCATGGGTTTATGGAAATGGACTGCACACTATTATTGGTCCTTTGGTGGGAGCTGGTAAAGGCATATTAACAACACGCTTAGCAGAGTGCGCAACCTGTTCTGTCAACCTGCAGCCTTTGCAGCCAACAGTCTTTTGGAGCAGGAACAACAGCAACAATAGGACAGAGGTCTACTCTACCGTCCTGTTTGATAGAACCACCTTTTACTGATCTAACCGTTTGAACGGTACCTGGCACTTCAATTACTCTGTAAATGACCGGTCTTCAAACCTCAATCTTGGTGCGACCCAGTGGCATGTGATGCTGGTAGACCAGCTCACTGTACAGGGGGACAATACACTCTGCCACTGTAAGACATGATTCTATCAACTGCCTATAGTTCAGAGCCTTCTCATATGCCACTTTTAGTCCCGCTTGATGAAGGGCCAACCAATTATGTTTCCTGTCGACAACCGTCTCGAACACAGCTAGCTGGGTTATCCATCTCTGCTAACAACACTAAGTCTAGCTGTTTTGAGGTGACAGACAGTATATATTCAAATGATAACATGCTTGAAAGTGAAAAATGTATTCATGTAAATTTGTTATATATGGATTTGCTTGCTACACCAATACATTTGATTTACTTTAGTATGATTCTGTGACACCCACTGTGACGATCACGTTTTGCGTATATATCTTTATTTTATTATTATCCTTTAATTTATTAAAACCTGTATTTTTAATTCTCTTTCAATGCACTTTAACTCTAAGCTCTCTAATCCAATGCGCGTATGTCTGCTGTTCCCTAGTCCTACCAGTAGGGGGCGGTGTAGCGCTAACTAGCTGTGATTGTCTATCGTCTTCTCGAACTTTCCTCTCAGACCAGAGAGGAGTTCGTGAAAGCAGGTCACGTCTTCTGTATCATCATTTTAAGCCTGTTTTTCAGGTGAGCACGGTGTTAAAATGCTCTAAAATCACTCCAAACTAGTTAATACAGAATACAGGTCCATATTTGTACATTTTGCCGACTTGTGCGTTGAGTAGAGGTTTATTATTTTGTAGAAGTGTAGTTAGACGTTCAAATCCTGAGTAAAATGGCGGACGTACCGAGTCTTTTTAGTTAACAGTGTTTTAGCTAAGGTCCTAAACATTCAATTCTGTGAAGAAAACGTTGAAATCTGTTCTTCAGTTGTATTTTGACGATATTAACGAATGTCTAAGTGTGTTCATGTGATGGCCGTGCAAAGAGATTTAGCGCCAGATAGCATCTTTAGCATTTCCCACTATTGAGTTCAGTGGTGCTCGAGCACTCCTGGCTGCCAGATCTCGCGTATCGGCTCTGACGACACACTCGACATTTATCTCTCACTTTTCTATGTGTCCCCTGAAAACTCGTGATCCTGAACGGTAAAGGTTCAAACTACTCCAACTTTACTGACGAAAAACATTGAATTCTAGAGATGTTATGCTCGATACTAGAGCATCGAATCAGTGTCGACACATCCTCCTGTATCGATACAATGATTCGGTCCCTCGCCTCGAACACTGGAGTCAGTGATAACCGCCAACGAAGCTTCGTTACGTCACTTAAATCCCCCGAGCTTCTTCTATGGGGTTAAACTGGTGAACTCCAGAGCAGTTTCTGTTGTTTTCAGTTGTCATGATTCAAATATTTATACCTTTTTAATGCATTGTTTGTACACTGATCCATAACTCGAGGAAGACTAGGTGACACGTACACGGACAGAAAACATCACAGAGACTGGCCCATTAATTAAAGAGATTTATCACGGAGGACGAAAGAGCCAAAATAAAGTGAGGTGTTTAATATGTGACCGAATGTTATCATACTCAAGTAACACCTCCTCACTGCTATGATGCTTCATTACTTGGGAAGTTTATGATGTATGCATGATGAGAGGCCAATGCAATGGGCAAATGAAGTAATTTTTAATATTATTTTCTTCGACCATAGTTGAGATGGAAAATCATATGTCAGTAGAATATTTATTTAATGTTCAGATATTCAAATTAACACATTTGTGTTGCAATAATGGTTTATTTTTTACAGATAAACTTCAGCATTATGGAAATATAAGACAATCAGTAGGAAACAGTCATTGTAGGTAATTGAACTGGACAGTAAGTGGCAGCATGGAGTCAGGTGTCAAGCGCTTCAAAACACTGAACCTTTTTCAGGTATGATCGGTTCGGCTCTGTTAATACTTCAAAAAGCTTTGTAACGGCCATCGCTACTGAATTCTGTGGCCATAGAGCACGCTGTATTTCGCGGTTTCTGTTAATGTACACAAACAAACGGGGGGTTCCCCCATCATCCCCTGTAACATTTGGTTAGGTGACTA